CTGATCCCCGCGCCCCCAGCCCCGCTGCCAGCAGCTGCCGCCAGTCGGAGCCGGCCGCCGCCGAAATGCTCCGGTCACACTCCCGTCTAAACAGAGTTCTCATTCCCGCTATATGCGCGAACAAGGGCGCTCTGATCACCAGCGGAAATTAAGATTCTGGCTGGGAACGTGTAACCGAGCGGTGGAGGAGCGCGCAGACCGTGTGCAGCACAGCGGCGATGAGCACAGGTAAGTACAACCGGGTATGTTGTACAGCCGCTGTCTGACATCCCCACCGCTTCTACTGTCGCTGCGGGTTGTCTTTCCTCGGCTGTTTTTGTGTCATTTCTACGAGCTCTGAGAAGCATCGGCTACAAAGTACCTCGCAGGATAAGCTATTGCAGACTTGCAGCAGCGGAGCCGTCACTTCCTGTACCAAGATACATGTTTGTATCCTTTGTATTTCCTGTACCTCTCAGAGAGGCTGAAACTCTCTGGGAGAACAACGAAAGCCTTTTTGTCTATATCGGCATTTTCAACATATGGACATAGGTTACAGAGCACGGAGATCGCCATAAAATCTTGCTCTAAAACTGTGAACACAGACCTATTAAAACAAAACAAAACAAACAAGCAAACAAAAAAAAAGAAGAATAAAAGAGAAAAAAAGCTTATTTCGGTAAACGAGGTAAGTTCGCTCTCAGAACATGGACGAACAGTAAAAATATTTCCTCGCATACTGCAATTACCAAGGTGCTATTTCGAGAGTCGTAATGAAGAGTGATATGCTCATCCGTGGTGATGCCTGAGCTGCCTCTCCCAGGACACTCAGTGACTTGGAAACCAAAACAACTATAAAACAAAACAAACAAAACAACCCAAGCAAACAAAAGAAAACCAACTAAAGAAGCCCAACAACAACAACCCAAATCAACCAGAACCTCGAAGAACCAAAACACCCCAGAAAAACCAACAACGAGCCAAAGAAGAAAAGGCAGAATGTCAGCAGCACAGAAGGCAGTTTGCCCGTGACACAAACACAGCGACGTGATAGATTTTAAACACGTAACATGTGAAAATTAAGCGCTGCTGCACGAGAGTCAACGATATGAAACAAGCGGGAAGGCGACATAAAAAGCAGAAATGAATGACCCTTCATAGCCAGGATTTCTTGCCGTTTCTTGAAGTGTCGTGTCATCTGCAACACATTCCAGGAGAAATCACCACAATATTTTCTACTTTCTAGCACTTCTCCCATAGTTTGAAGGCCTTCTAGACTATAAAAGCACAATACCCAGTCTGAAAAAATGATCTTCTTCCACTTCACTCCGTCTTTGGAAGGGCACAGCGGTGGCTCAACACCGACCTTGTCAACCACTGCTCACACACTGACGTGTGCTTTGTAAGTTAACACATATCAACAAGTAGCTTCACTCCTCTTCCATCCACTTCCTCTGTGGAGGGAGTTCCCTTCTGGATCTCAATTTGACCCGAACAGAGAAATTCCCACAAAAAAACCCAAGTAATTTACCCAAAAAACTGAGAATTGTCTCGCGGTTGAAGAGGTGCCCCTAGCATGGAACACACACGAATTCTGGCACCCAAGGTTGACACAGCTGTCACCACTGGCTGAGGAACACGCTGTGTGAGGAACTTCCACAAAAGACATGCACTAAAGGAGGCACAGGCACCTCTACGTCTATTCCAAACGATGGCTTACATTGACCCTAAATCATGGCTGGTAATGAAAAAGGCATGTAACAAGGGTGGTAATTAAGTGAACCAAAGAAGGACTTGAAAAAAACACCTCAATTAACACGCTGTTCATGGTAAAAATTATTATTTCTAGTAGATCCATCGCACGGGTCAAACTGCTCACTGGCTGGTCAGGAGCACGGAAGAAGAGGAACCGTCTAATCTTTAGCACTATAGGAACAGTAGTTCCCACTCCCTCACACACGGCCCTCAGCGACCATCGAGAATGAAGGACACAAGAGCAAAGGCTGCTACATGCACGAGCAAGACATTACACGACACTAGCAGAAAGGCTGCTCACCAGGGACCAATTATTTCTCTGTAACAACAGGTTATACACGGGAATGTTAACGCTCCGTTTCTGATCCTACTCAAACACAATTGCTGCCAAGAAGATGCTGGGCCCTGCTCGTACAGCACACGGCCATTTGCTGATAATCAACGCATCCATTCAGAAGAGGTAATGCTGACTGGAAAATTGGTATTAAACATGCCAGGCGACGGAATGAGAAACGATCTGGGAGCTGATAATACCACAAAACCCAGCTCTAACGAAATTCCAGCTACCAGCTGCCTCCCTTCTCCTGCCTTGTTGCCTTTGATCATCATCACTTGCAGACAGACCCCACAGAAAGAAAAGCTGCACAGACAGTGTCTGCTTACCAGGCATAATGTTTGATTTCTCAGCATGTGAATGTGACAAACAAGAGCATTTTTACCAGTAACACTGTAAGGAAACATGTCTGAAAGTCTTTCTCTTCACAGCTGTAAATACGAAAGGCATGTTAGGACAGTCACACAAATGGAATAGATAAGATCTCACCATCGTCAGAGACAAAGGCCCACCTCCATATCAGTACAACCCCAAAGGCAAGAAGTTAACACCTACACTTCTTGATGACAGCACCTTAAGTAGGTACATCATTAAGGTGTCAAGTAGGGACTCAATACACAGTTTGCTCTTCCCAGGGCTCCCATTATGGTATTTGTCACAAGTACATAATTAAGCTGTTAGTTTAGAACCGATAAGGATGTGCAGACACAGAAAAAGAACCTCCCTGGACTCCCAAAACAGCTCGAGTTACCTGCATTTCTTCTCTCCCCATCTCGTAAGGCTCCTGCCATTGTACATACTTTCAAGCCAAGGTAAATCCGCTACCCTTATGAATTCGTTTGTCTTGAAAGACTGAGAATCAGCAAAACACACCTCCAGCTTCCTGCAATCGCCCTTCGCACGCAGCCACTTTATAAAATAGTCACAACTTGAACCATATTCTTTCATATTTCTGAACTGCAAAGAGACACCGTCAAGGGACCAGTGGTTGCCCAGCCCCTTCCACCACCCGAGGGAAAAAGATGGCAACATAAACGAATATAAAGACATTTCATTGCCCACCAAGTTATCATGGAGAAACAGGAAAGCTGAGAAGACTGGAAACCACGAGCAGAAAAATTAAACACCAGGGCATTAATGCTCCGATTGGGATCCTAAACGAACACAATCGATTCCGAGAAGGCACCGCGCGCTGCTAACAACGCAAACCGCCCTTTGCTGACACTGCAACACTTCCGTGCAGCAGAGCTAATGCCGATGGGAAAACCGTTATGACAAACGGCCTGACACGGAGTAAGAACAAAAAGCTCCGCTCTAACTAAGCCCCACCCAACAGCAGCGTCCAAGTTCACGCCGCCCCAACCAGTGGTTCCGCCGAGGAACCACCCAACGTTCGCTTCCTCTGCAGCAAGAGCAGCCCGCAAAGAGAGGCCGAGGCCGTGCTGAGCGACGCTCCGAATTCCCCGTTACCGTAAGAACCCCCTGCGGCAAAAGGGCGGAAAGCTGGGGACAGGTCAGCGAAGGGACAGAGGAGCAAGGAGGGTCAAAGGAACTCACCGGGGGGGCAGCAGCAGCAGCAGCAGCAGCAGCAGGGCAGGGCAGGGCAGGGGCAGGAGAGGAGCGGGCGGGTCCCGGCGGGTTCCGGCTCTGCCCCAGCCCAGGGCAGCACCAGCTCCTTTGTTCCCCCTTTCCAGTCCCCCTTTCCCTTCCCATCGGGTTTTGCAGAACGGGGGGAGCCGAGGGGGGGTCTCTGGGGTGTCACCCCCTCCCAGCGCCACCAGCACCTCCGGGCAGCCCGGACTGGGCTCCAGCCCTGGGAGGAGCGGGCTGGGATGAGCAGAAACCCTCGGGAACACGGAGCTGGACAAGTTCCCATGCGGGAGGTTGGGGGGGAACATCAGAGTCCCCCCCACC